CAAACGTATAATACTATTCTCTTATCAAAATAAGTCATCACTGTGCAAACCGCATTTCCGTCCGTCACGCGTTCGCGAGTAATAAGTCCCGAAAGATTGTCAAGTGACAGACAGGTGAAAATCCAGGTGCGCGAGAAGAAAATGTCAAACAAAGAAAGTTGTTCTATCAAAGAAAGTTATCACAATGGATACCGCATTAACGTGAAGTTCACTGGTTTTTGAGCAATAGATTCCGAAATCTCGGCGCTGTCAGACAGGTGAGATTCCAGGTACGCGAGAAAAATTTGAAACGTATGACATCGTTCTCTTATCAAAATAAGTCATAATCGTGATAACCGCATTTCTGTCCGATTATTCGTTCGCGAGTAATAAGCCCCGAAAGTTTGTCGAGTGACAGACAAGTGAAAATCCAGGTGCGCGAGAAGAAAATGTCAAACGTATAACATTGTTCTATCAAAGAAAGTATTCGCAATGGATACCGCATTAACGTGAAGTTCACTGGTTTTTGAGCAATAGAAATCTCGGCGCTGTCAGACAGGTGAGATTCCAGGTGCGCGAGAAGAAAATTTGAACGTATTAAGCTATTCTACTATCAAAATAAATAATCGCAGTGAAAACCGTATTCTTGTCTGATCAAACATTTTGGAATAATAAGCCCCGAAGTTCGTCGCGAAAATCACAACTTTGCAAGGAGTTCTATCTGAAGTCTCTGCGAAAATTGGAAGTGGCGTCATGTAGAGCTACGCTTTCTCAATCGCTTATCACTATTCGATCGTGGAAACAGGTCGTGGGCATACCTGAGAGGTGCCCCTGTGTTACATGTTTTTTGTCTGCTTCTTTCGGGCGGAATCATGTTATGATTCTCCCGCTTCCAAGAAACCTCGCAAGCTGGCGGCGAGGTTTGAGGATATCTCGTTACGATGAACACGCAAGACTTACTTTTGCTCTTCCCGGCGATAATCAGACGCGAAACTCGCATTCGGCGAGCCGAAATCCCACAATTCACGAAATTTGTTACTTCTGTGGCGTCGGTTTCAAATTGCCGTTTTTGGTAATATCACCAACTCAAGGAAAAATTCAACGCTGATCGTAGCGCCATGTCAGCAAATAAAGGGTCTAAAGTCCGGTCTACATATCTCGCAGATGCAGGCCGCAACCAAACCTGAGAGCGGCCACCAGCTTGATTTTAATGGCCAGAGCTAGGCGCATTTTCGAGACGCCATCTAACAAAGTGCTCCTTTACTACGTTCGTTAGACGCATTTTCGCGGTGGTAAAGATAAAATGCGCCTGGTTCGTGCCTGTTGTACTTCCGTACAATAATAGTAAGTTAGAGAAGGACAGACGTCTAATCGCTCTGTTCTTGTCTCACTACTGATGAGTGAACCGCGCGAGTAGGCGAACGAAGCGAGCTAGCGGCGAACTTATCGCAAACCTAGATCATCTCTCATCAGTCTCATCTTCCTGCGTTCTACTTTTGTAAGGAAAAAAGGACTGGAAGCTCGACAATATGAAACAATAAATAAATATACAAGTTTAAAGATGCCGCTCATATTTTTTGCTTATTTCTCGGAAACCACAAAAGATATCGATGTAATTCGAAGAAAACAATATTCTCCACAATTTATCCTGTTGGAATTTAAAGTTTACAATAATACTAATAATACAAATACTATATTAATATTATTAATAACGGTTCGTTAAATAAGCCGTGGAAGCATGCGTACATTTCGACGTCGCTGACAGCCATTTCACTACCGATTGCATTTTTCGGGCATTTCTCAGTAACCACTAAAGATATCAAGGTGATTCAAAGGGCATTATCTACTCTACCAATAAGATAAATTGTAGAGTGGTAACTGGTAATTTATAATAATATGAAAAATACCGGAGACAAAACAACTTGGTTCGAATTTCGGCTCACTAGTTTAGCGGAGACGTCAAACACATCGGTTCAAATCTCGGCTTAATAATTTAACGGGAAAATTTCGTGAAATATGGCGAAATATAATGGATCCAGCGTTATGAACGCGACTTTAGAATATTGGAAAATTATTTTCAACACTCTGGGCGTGTTATTGAGGGAGTAGAGTAACACACATTGTTATCCAAGAGGCGATACAGAACATAAAAATACATACATCTCTTTAGAAATTGAACTTTCGCAACCACGAAAATTATTTTAAAAGACTGTGAAAAACTACCCTAGAATGTGCTCTACATGCTAACACTATATGACCTAACTTGCACTATGCTGCGTTCGGAAACACACACTGTGTGCACACTATTAGACGATAGCGTTGGAGTGAGCGAAATACAAGAGTGAGATAAAAAGAGAGGGAGAGTACTCGAGTGACGTTTTCGAACGTAGCTCTAATATGATCGACTTTCGGCCCACTGCGCTTGCACGAGAATTCGAATATACTGCTACAATGAATCTAACGTTATGGGCGCAACTTTGGGATATTGGGAAATCATTATCGAGATTCTGGGCGTGCTGCTGAGAGAATGGAGTGACATTAAGGCGATGCTGTTAGATTCGTTTTCTTCTAATTGCATGCATAAAACTGCAAATGCTTTCACATGCTTATGCATGAAAGTATAAGCGATAATGAATGTTGAGGACTAAAAAATAGCATCGAAATCAACAAAGAATTATTTATTTACTATTAGAAGCGTTATATTTAGCTTTATGTGAAGAATTTAGCGCTCAAATGCGTAAAATGTATAGTTCCCGGCATAGAGACGACTTTCAGGAACATTATGAAACCATCGTGAGTGGATTTTAATAAATAGTTTAAATAAAAAGAAAATTCCAGTAATAAACGATTTGTGTGTTAGCGTTTGATGGGTCGTGTGGTAAAAAAGATCTGATTTTTAGTTCACGCATGTCCCAACAGAAAGCGCTGTATCTTGAGTTAGCTCGGAAACGAACACGATATGAAGACGGAGACAAAACCGTCAAAATGTTACATTTGATAAGCTAATTAAATGTTGCATTTGATAAGCGCCAATATGTTCACGCTACCATTGCGCCGCAGTATTTTTTTTCATATATCGTCCCTTCACAGATATTATGCAAGTGTATATGCTACGCTGTCACTTCAATTTTCTTACACATAGATATTACATAAATGTGAATGCCACGTTGCCGATATTCGCATTCTCTCCAAAATAGGCCTTTGTAGTGTTAAATAATGTTACAAGTAAGCATAATTTATCGTTAAATATTGAGCTTACATACTTGAAGCATCAAATGCTGAAAAATCTTTTTTTAGTTTTCTACCTCGATATATTTCTACAAAACAGCCTATTTTCTATACGAAAAAAGTAGAAAGTATAAAAATATAATTATTACGAAAATATGCAAGAGTTGGCCTGGGGGAAAACATTCAGTCGTAAATACCAAAAGATTAAAAATTACGTAAATTAAAAGCAACTAATATTAAATTTATTAAATTAACCCGTTTTCACAAAAAAATTAAATAACGAGATAAGATGTAAATCAAATAAAGAATGTAAATAAAGAAAATAAGTAGAAATTAAATAAATTGGAGAAAAATTTTTTCCAAATTTATCTGATGCTTTATCATTTAAATATTTGCCGATAACAATACTTATTACACAATCATTATAATTTCGTTATTGTAAGACACACACAGAATCCCACAAAAAATATAATATCAAAATAATTTAACATTGTTTATTTTTTTATTTATTCGGCCTTTAATTCCTGATTTTCTATTTATCGTGCACTAGGAATAAATAAAAATATTAAAACATGTGACAGCTATATGTTTGTTACAAAGTAAATACACAAATGACAACAAATTTTCCAGAGAAGTTTTCAACTCAGATAAAATGCTTTAATAACTATAACTGCATTTCGTAAAATAGTCTTGTTTGAAAGTATACTGCGTAAGGATTGTAATTTCATCATCAAGATTCATCGTCTTACAAAAGACATGACAATAGTACTACATTTACCTTAAATAAACGAAATGACATACGTACATATATAATCATGGTAAAGTCATTCTCCAATTCTTTCTTACATATCGCACTTATTATTCTACGTATAGAGAGTCACTTAATCTATTAAAAATCTATAAAAAGCACGTAAGTAATTATAAATGGAGTACAAAATTCAATAGTAACTTTCATAGAAAGATACTTCGTTACGAAAGTATAACGTAAAGAGAGCTGTAAACATATTATTTTTCTCCCTTTGCTCTTTCCTTTGTTCGATCAAAATAATCGCTTCCTTTCGACTCACGGGCCATCGAGAAGTCTATAACAATGTTTTTCTTGGGTATCAATGCCAACGACTCAGGAAGCAGGTTGATACTTCCTTACGTGGTTGGGCATATTTCTTTCAAAAATATATTCTGTATTACCGACTTGAAGATCAGCCGCCGTCAAAAAAGTTGGAGTAAAAATTAAAGCTCGAGCGCGGTGAATAGCATACGGTAAATTTTTAAGCTGAGAGAAAACGCAAACTGTAACTATAAATTTCGCGAGAATTGTCGGAAAGGAAAAGGAGTAAACGTCGTAGATAAAAGATCTCTCATCCGCGTATGAAGCCACAAGTGTGACTTTACTAGTGAGTGGTAATATCATTTTGTAGTGACACTTTACTAGTGAGTGGTAATATCTTTTGTTCTGATACTTTACTAGTGAGTGGTAATATCTTTTTACAGTGCAGGCAAGTTCAATTCTGACATTGGACGTTATGTTAGTCCAGTTTATCCTGTATCTTGAAGGTCTTCTTGCAACTTTTACAGAAAAAATTCACCTGTGAGTGTACATCGCGCTGATGTCTCTTTAGGCTATATTTATGCTTGAGAATGTATCACACTTGTCGCATTTTATCGGTTGTGTGTTAGCGTGAACGGTTTTCTTATGTCTCTTAAGATAATTCCACTTCTGAAACATCTTGAGGCATATGTTACAACGGAAGCTGTAGATCTTCTCATGTACCAATATCATGTGTTGAATCAAACAATTCTCTGTATCTGTCTTGTAGGAACACTCGCGGCAGGTATACTTTGGTGGTATACGACACGTCTCAGTATGAGAAATTAATTTTTCTAGCAGGCCAAACTTCTGGTAGCAAATTTTGCAAGCAATTATTCAACCTCCTGTGTATTTCGAAGGAGGCCTTGTATCTGAAATGTATGCAGCACGCAGAACACTCCCAAGAGTACTCCGATTCCACGCTGGCGATCTCTGAGTTGACATCCTGGCTTCCGGACAATCCGTAACCGAAGTATTACTATTTTCGGCAAGCGATATGTCCTGAATCATTTCACGAAGTAACACCCTAAAACACAAATTATAATTACGTTAAAGAATATTACACTGAATATACGACCAACTATTCAATTTGATTTGTGTCAAGTGGAACTTAAATTTGATCTCGTACACATACTTCTCGTAGAAATAATCAGATAGTTCATGGACATTCTTTACATGGGGATTCAATTCTTCCTGCATGTTGATGTTCTCTGTAATTTGAAGCCTATCTTTTGCGTCATCTGCACCCGTTATGATTAGGAAATCAATAGATGAACCAATAAGGTTATTAAATTCCATAAGCTCATAGTACAGAGGTTCCATAAATGAATCTCTGAAACACGAATTACGATAGAATTAAATAACGTCAAACGCTGGCATGATTTACCGCGAAATATTGAATTTACATAATTGAAGATCATCAATTGAGTATCATGTGCTGAAATTACTATTTCACTATTTTACGAAGCGAACGTAAAGAGCATAAAAATACGCATAGAAATACAATTGTTCAAATAACGTGAGAACTTGGTATCAAAGCAGGACATAAGATGGTACTTGATAAATTGTAAGTGTGTTTGACAGTGTAAATATACACGCCAAGAAAACCCTTGACAATATACTTTATTATATACGTCTCCTCTTTACTATAAAACTTAAATCACCTAATAATTTTGCCCATCCCCATTCTAAACAAAATTATTTAGTACTTATTTTAATCATATATTAATTTTGTTATACACTTATTTTAATTTTTGTATTAATTTGATTTCGTACACATACCTATCGTAGGAACTACGAGATAGTTTATGGACATTCTTTGCATGGGGATTTAATCCTTCCTGCAGGTTGATGTTTTCTGTAATTTGAAACCTATCCTTTGTGTCATCTGCACCCGTTATGATCAGGGAATCAAAAGATGAACCACTTAAATTATAATCCAGAAGATCAAAGTTCTCCAAAAAATCTATTTGTAAGTCTCTGAAACACAAATTACAATAAAATTAAAAAATGTCAAACACGAGGCATGATTTACCGCTAAATATTCAATTTACATAATTCAAAAGTATTACGTGTTGAAATTACTATTTCACTATTTTGCGAAGCAAATGTAGAGAGCATACATAAAAATATAATTGTTCAAACACCATGAGAACTTGGTATCAATTTAATTTCAAGCGTATTTTTCGTGTCGTCAACAACTATTTCGGTTCGGAACTCAATAGGTGAACCAATTAGATCATCAAAATCCAGAATTTTATAGTCCCAAAGTTCCATAAGTGAGCTTCTGAAAAACGAATTATGATAGAATTAAATAATGTCAAACACCAGACATGAATATACACGCAAAGAAAACTCTTGACAATATACTTTATTATACACCTCTCCTCTTTAAGAAGGAGAATCTTTAAAGATTTCTTTGAAACTAGGATGCAAGATAATTCAATAACGATTTGACCAACAGAATTATCCTTTTATGTACATTTAGTTTATTATATTCATTAGTCAAAGAACCTATGAGTCCACAACGTTATTTATTTAAACAATATTTTTGCGTACACAGAAATGGATTTTTATGAGTACAAATCAAACTTTTGATTCACGAGCTGCTTTTTTGTCAATTACAAAAAATTTTTTCAACTTGTTTAAGTTCATCGACAAATTATGTCCATAAAAAGTAAAAGAATGTTGCCCTATTTTGGTTTCAGACAAATTCAACATGAGCCAAAATGCACACAGTTTTGTGCCGACTCTGCCACGATGCTCAACATTTCTTTCAGTACGTACAATGTATAAACATTGTTCTTAACTTAAATATATTTCTTTAATATTTTATTTACACAAGCAAAAACATTACAAAGTTAGGAAGCGATTGAAAAGTACATTCTTCAAAAAACGTTCATGAAAATTCCCTTAATTTTGACGTTCTACAGTGTTTTCCCCATTTAAGTAAACAAAATAATATATATACATAATATATAATTATACATAATATAAATTAATATATAATTATACATAATATATAATTATACATAATATAAATTATATATACTTACACATAATTATATATGCATAATTATATATCATTATACATATATATTTATATACATTTATACATAATTATACATAATACATAATATATGATGCATCGTAAGGTCATTCTCTATTTCTTTCTTAAGTATCGCGCTTATTATACTGCGTGTAGAGTGTCACTTAATCTATTAAAAATGTATAAAAACCGCGTAAGTAATTAAAACTAAATACAAAATTCAATAGTAACATTCGTAGAAAGATACTTCGTCACGAAAGTGCAACGTAAAGAGAGCTGTAAACATATTATTTCTCTCCTTCTGCCCATCCTTTTGCTTGATTTAAATAATCGCATTCTTTCGACTCACGGGCCAAGGGAAACGATACTTTCCTTGGGTATAGCCAACGATTCAGGAAGCAGGATGATGTTTCATTATATGGTGGTACAAATTACCCTTAGAAATACACATGTCGTAGTAAACGTCGCAGATAAAAGGTCTCTGATTCGTGTATCAAGCCGCATGTGTGACTCTTTCCTAGTGAATGGTAATATCTTCTTCCAGTAAGTGCAAGCTTCACTCTGATACTCGGCATTATATCGGCCTAGTTCATCGTGCGTTTAGAAGATGAACAACTTATTACAACTTCTGCAGAAGAAAATTTTCCTGTGAGTGTACTTTGCGCTAATGTTTGTTAATTTATATATGTGCTTCAAGACACAATCGCACTTATCGCATTTTATCGACTGTGTGTTAGCGTGGACGGTCTCCTTATGTTTCTTAAGAATGCTGTGCGATTTTAATGTCATGAAATATATCTCACAAAGGGGCGGTAGTCTTGTGTTTCCATGTTATGTGTTCAATCAAACAATCTTGTGTAGTTATCTTCTAGGAACACTTGTGGGAGATATACTCTGGTCTACGACACGTCTTATCGTGACGATATAATTCATCTAGCAAGTCAAACTTCTGGTGGCAAATTGTGTACCAATTTCACGTGTTCACTCATATCCTTGAATATACTTGTCTTGAAGGAACACTTGATGTTTACTTACTGCCACTTGAAACTTACGTTTATGATACGTCCAACGGTGACGATTAAATTCTTCTAACAGGTCAAATTTCTGGTCGCAAAGTTTGCATTGCAGGCAACTATTTAAGCTTATGTGTTTCTCGAAGTTTGCCTTGTATTGGAAACTTCTGCCGCATGCAGGACATATCATCACACATGAACTGTTTCCTTATGTCTCTTAAGATTATGCTGCGTCGCAAAACTCATGCAGCATATGTCACAAAAAATCGGTAAAACGTCGGTACCATAGTGTACTGATTCCATGTGTTTAATCAAACAGTTCTTTGTATGTGTCTTGTAAGAACACTCGCGACAGGTATACTCAGGTTTAAGACACATGGTATAGTGACGAATAAATTTTTCTAACACGTCAAAGTTCTGGTCGCAAATTTGGCATTGCAGGCAATTATTCAAGTTTATGTGTTTCTTGAAGGAAACATTGGATCGGAACTTTCTGCTGCATGCAAGACATTTCATCAACGTGCTCACATGAACTCTTTCCTTATGTACCATAAGATTACTCTGCGTCGAAAAACTTGTGAAGCATATGTCACAAAAAATCGGTAAAACGTCGGTACCATAGTGTACTGATTCCATGTGTTTAATCAAACAGTTCTTTGTATGTGTCTTGTAAGAACACTCGCGACAGGTATACTCAGGTTTAAGACACATGGTATAGTGACGAATAAATTTTTCTAACACGTCAAAGTTCTGGTCGCAAATTTGGCATTGCAGGCAATTATTCAAGTTTATGTGTTTCTTGAAGGAAACATTGGATCGGAACTTTCTGCTGCATGCAAGACATTTCATCAACGTGCTCACATGAACTCTTTCCTTATGTACCATAAGATTACTCTGCGTCGAAAAACTTGTGAAGCATATGTCACAAAAAATCGGTAAAACGTCGGTACCATAGTGTACTGATTTCATGTGTTTAATCAAACAGTTCTTTGTATGTGTCTTGTAAGGGCACTCGCGACAGGTATACTCAGATTTAAGACACATTGTATAGTGACGAATAAATTTTTCTAACACGTCAAACTTCTGGTCGCAAATTTGGCATTGCAGGCAATTATTCAAGTTTATGTGTTTCTTGAAGAAAACCTTGGATCGGAACTTTCTGCCGCATGCAGGACATTTCATCAACGTGTCCACATGAACTGTTTCCTTATGTCTCACAAGACTTCTTTGCGTCGAAAAACTCGTGAAGCATATGTCACAAAATATCGGTAAAACGTCGATACCATAGTGTACTGATTTCATGTGTTTAATCAAACAGTTCTTTGTATATGTCTTGTAAGAACACTCGCGACAGTTATACTCAGATTTAAAACACATTGTATAGTGACGAATAAATTTTTCTAACACGTCAAAGTTCTGGTCGCAAATTTGACATTGCAGGCAATTATTCAAATTTATGTGTTTCTCAAAGGAAACCTTGCGTTGGAAACTTCTGCCGCATGCAGGACATTTCAGCAACGTGTCCACATGAACAGTTTCCTTATGTCTCTTAAGATTACTCTGCGTCGCAAAATTCTTGAGGCATATGTCACAAGGTATCGGTTTAACGTCGATAGTATTGTGTACCGATTTCATGTGTTCACTCATATCTTTCAATGTACTTGCCTTGAAGGAACACTTGCGGCACGTCAGACGTCTACGACACGTCCAACCGTGACGTTTAAATTCTTCTAACACGTCAAAGTTCTGGTTGCAAATTTTGCATTGCAGGCATTTATTCAAGCTTATGTGTTTCAAAAGGGATATCTTGTACATGAAAATTTTGCCGCATGCAGTGCAGGGCCAAGAGTTCTTCTGCTCCATCGAGGCGATCATTTCTGAGTTGACATCATAGGCTTCGGGACGATCCGTAACCGAAGTATTACTATTTTTGGAAATTGATATGTTCTGAATCGATTCACGAGGTAACACACTAAAACACAAATTATAATTAAGTTAAACAACTTAACTCACTGAATGTATGACCAGCTATTCAATTTGTGTCAAGTAGAGCTTAAATTTCGTTTCGTACACATACCTATCGTAGGAACCACAAGATAGTTCATCGACATTCTTTGCATGAGCATTCAATTTTTCCCGAAGGATGATGTCCTCTATAATTTCAAACATATTTTCCATGTCTTCAGCATCCTTTACGGCCCGGAAATCATTAAGTGAATTATTTCGATCATCCTTTAGATAATGCAGAATTTCAGAGAACTGAGGTCCCTTAGGTGAACTTCTGAAAAATGAATTACGATAAAATTAAATAATGTCAAACGCCAGGCATAATTTACCACAAAATATTCACGTTACATAATTCAAGAGTATGAATTGCTGAAATTAGTATTTCACTATTTTACGAAGCGAATGTAGGGGACACGCATAAAAATATAATTGTTCAAACAACATGAGAACTTGGTATATCAAAGCAGAACGCAAGAGTGTTTGACACTTATAATTTAGCAAATATCATCTATATATAATATCATCTATTATAATGTATATGTAAATATACACGCCAAGAAAACCCTTGACAATATGCTTTATTATACATTTTACCTCTTTATGGTAAAACTTTATTTACCTAATAATTTTGCCGATCCCCATCCAAACGAAATTATTTACTACTTATTATAATTACATACTAATTTTGTTATACACTGATTTTAATTGTTGTGTTGCAGAAGATATTGCCTCAGCTTAGAGCCATCCTTAGCTTCTGACATGCTGGCACCGTGCCATAAGGCGCTAATTCATCTACCGAATCTTCGATAATATTCTTCGCTATACTAACGTTTAATCGTGATTGTAATAAACAATGTTACAAATAATCACAATTTATCATTAAATATTTAGTTTACTTACTTAAAGTATCAAATGGTAAAAAATTTTTTTTAGTTTTCTACTTCAAAATATTTTTACAAAATAGCCTATTCTTTACAAGGGAAAAGTAGAAAATATAAAAGAGTAATGATTGATTGCTAAATACGAAAATTAAAAATTATGTAAAAAAAACAGTTAATATTAAAAGTTATTACCTGTTTTCACAAAAAAATTATAACGAGATAAAGTGCAAATCAAACACAAACACAATAAGTACAAATTAAGCATACTGGAGGAAATTTCTGCTACATTCATCTGATGGTTTATCACTTAAATATTCGTCCGTAGTAACACTCACTTCGCAATCATAGTAATTGTGTCATTGTAAGACACACTTAAAATCATAAAATGATAATATTAAAATAATTTAATTATTGTTATATTTTTATTTATTTGGTCTTTAATTCTTGCTTTTCTGCCGTTATTATCGCTCAACCAAAAATGAATAAATATAATTAAACATATGACAGTTTTATGTTTTTGTATGCATATAATTATGTGTGCGTGCGTGCATCGACGTAAATATTCGTCAGATAATCGCGGGGTGCGTGTAATGTGACGTTTTTTATGAATTTCAGAATAAGAGAGAGAAATGGAATTTTTTTCTATATTTATCTGATGTTTTATCACTCAAACATTCGCCAATAACATTAATTGCAGCACAACAATCGTAATTTCGTTATTGTAAGACACATGCCACAAAGCACAGGAGATTCAAAAAGCTTTCAAAAAGGTTTCAGAAACATTGAACTTTTCTGAGATATTTCTGTAATTTTTCTGAAAGCTTCTTTAAACTTCTGTGAGGTGTAGAATAGAATCTCATAAAAGTAATTTCAAAATAATATATTATATTTATTTTTTATTTATTAGTCTTTTAATTCTTGCTTTTCTGTTGCAATTCAATCAAAAACCGAGCATGAATCAAAATATTAAAACATATGACAACTATATGTTTGTTACAAGATCAGTACAAATATAACAACAAATTTTCCAGAAAAATTATAAACCTAGATAACATGCTTTAATATGAACTGCAACTTTTCATAAAGAACAATTTTGTTCAGAAGTATGCTGCATAAGGATTGTAATTTTATTATCGAGATTCATCGTCCTACAAAAGACATGACGTTACTATAATTACATTAAGTAAATAAAATAGCATATGTACATATATACAGAGTGTCTCAGATCTCCATGATAACTCTTTGTGAGAACGTAGAACGCATTGATGTGAACAAGACAATTCTGTGCCGTTTTGCAATATTCGCAATAATAGTCGAGATATTAATTTAAAAAATTGGTGAATAATCACGCGCTATTTGGTAAATGAGCTGTAGTGGCGCCGTTGTATACTTATACATTAAGTCAAGTTGAAAAAAAATTATCTACCATTTTGCAAATGACCACATAGATTTTTAAAAATTAAAGAAAATTGTTATATATATATAATTGTTATATATATATGATTGTAAAAGACAAATTTTTTAAAATTAAAATCTAAAAATCTACGCGATCATTTACAAAATGATCATATAGATTTATAAAAAGACTTTTGTATTCACTTTGACTTAATGTATAGTTATACAACGGCACTAATGCTGTTCATCTATTATATTCTACGTTCTCACAAATGGTCATCAAGAAGATCTGAGACATATCGCGCTTAGAATTCTGCGTAAAGAGGTTCACTTAATCTATTAAAAATCTATAAAAAGAGCGTAAGTAATTACAAAATGAGTACAAAATTTAATATTAACATTTGTAGAAAAACACTCGGTCACGAAAATGCAATGTAAAGAGGGCTGTAAACATATTATTTATTTCCTATTTCCCTTTCTTTTGTTTGATCTAAATGATCGCTTTCTTTCGTCTCACGGAGTCTAGGAAAATTTACGACAATGTTTTCTTGGGTATCAATGCTAACGATTCAGGAAGCAGATATTTCTTTACGTGGTTGAGCATATTTCCCTCAGAAGAATAGGTGTTGCCGTAAATGTCGTAGATAAAATATATCTCATCCGCATGTGAAGCCGCAAGTGTGATTCAGTGCGTTTTGAAGATTTTCCTATAATTTCTGTAAAAAAATTCGCTTGTGAGTGCACTTTGCGCTGATGTATGTTAGGCCATATTTGTGCTTGAAAACGTCATCACACTTGTCGCATTTTATTGGCCGCATTTTGTTAGCGCGGACAGTTTCTTTATGTTCCTTAAGAATGCACTGCGATTTTAATTTCTTGAAACATATCTCAAGTTTGAAATGGCCGATAGACTTGTGTCTCAATTTTATTGTCTCAATTATATGTGTTCAATTAAACAATTCTCTGTATCTGTCTTGTAATGACACTCGTGGCAAGTATACTCTCGTCTACAACATGTCTACTGTGTTTCTCGAAATTAGCGCTGAATTTGAAACGTTTGCCGCATACAGAACACTTCCAAGAGTACCCCGGCTCCATGCAGGCGATCATCCCTGAGTTGACAGCCTAGGATATTTTTAGAAGGCGACACGTTCTGCATCGATTCTGGAGAAATTCTAGGTACCGCTGTGTGCCATAAGCGCAGAGGCAAAGTAACTAAAACACAAATTACAATCAAATCAATTAATATACTAGTAAAGCACAAATAATAAAATACAAGGTTCAAGAGCTAAATATTGAAATTATTTGTGGTGTTTCAATTGTACGACGACTTTATTGGAAGTATTAAAATATTAATAACTTAAACAAATTAAATAGAAATAAAACAAAAACTCAGAAAGTAATTTTTATGCACATTCATACATACATATATATATATATATATATATA